TGTTCATGCACCATTGATGGAGGTTGGCATCGGGTTTTGAATTCTAAGGCATATCAATTGAAACCAATACTATAGATGGATTCAGTGACGAATTTGGAGTGACTTTGCTTTTTTACAATTTTGAGTTTGATGAAGAATTGAGCAGACACGAGTGAGGAGAAGATGATGCATGAGGTTCAGTTTCCATGGCTGTTTCATACAAACCCTAGGCATGAGGAAGACGAAGCATATCGTGTGTTGGATGAGCAAGACTTGTTTGACTGAAATTCTAATCTCACGGCTTAGATTCAATGATGAAAATAGGAGGGGATTCAGAAACGTGAAACGCACCGTTTCACTTAAGTTCTCAGATTGGGCTTAAGGATCATTACTATTCGCATTACCATTTCAAGGCCCACTCATTTTGAACTAGCATTAGTTACTTTCTGCACCGTTTTGCTTTTATTTTCTTTTGTATTTTCTGAATATGCACTGGGCCCAGGTGCGCCTTGCTACGCGCACCCCCAGTCTGGGCCCATCATCCATTTTTCAATGCGTTTTCTTACTTACTGCACCCCTAGCTCGTTTTACCTCATTTTAATTTCCTTTATTTTTCTTAATTGTTTAAAAATTCATAACAAATTGGAAATTCCATATTTTTGATTGGTTTTTTTTTACCATTTTCATATTTCTGTGTAGAAAAATATCATGTAATAAAATTTCCATTTTATTTTCTTTTAATATTTTTTGCATATTTTTTCTTTTAATGCCTTTTTAATAGATTTAAGTTGTATATAGTTTTTGTAGAATTTCTTTTAGGTGGTTCTCATAATCTTTTTAGGCCAATTTTTTTTAGTATAACTAGATACATACATTAGGTGTCCCCTTGATTTTTATACCAATTTTTTTAGGATTTATTTTAGGTAGTTTAGTTAGAAAACATTAGGCTAATCATTTAGGGTTGTGAATATAATATAGGTATAATAAAGCAATTTCTTTTGGGTTTTCTTTAGGACAAAATTAAATGATGGGACTATAGGGGTATTATGGGTAAATAATAGATCCTTTAGAAAATATTAGACTTCCCCTATTCTACTATTACTATCAAGGTATTTCCTGTAATTGGTTGATTGTGTGGTGTGCCCTCTCTAGGGTTATTTGTTTGACTGTATGGGGTATTGGGCCTGTTTGGGGTTTGGGTTTGAGCTGAAGACTTTGCTGATGAAGCCATTGAAGACAAAAGGAGCGAGGATCATTTCCAGAGTTGATGAAGAGTGTACCTTGCTGGCAGCTGTTGAGGGTTACAAGATCTAGGAGTTAGGTAGAACTCTAGAATAGCAACTTGATTCACAAACATGGAAGGTCTTGTTTGCCTCCATCCCTCTCTATGATGCAGAGTCTCTCTAGGACACTCACCCCCTTCCTTTGGAAGGCTTGGTGACAGTGTCTAAGAGATAGAACTCTTGAGAGAAACATTCTATATGTTGTTAACAGTCTGTTTGCCACCTTTGGTGGTCAACTAACTGTTTAACATTCCAGTTCATCCTCTTAACTGTTCCTCATCTTGGAGAGTGAGACTTGAAGAAAAGCCCTGAAAGATTGAAGATAGAGACCTTGCTTGAAGGCTATGAAGATGAAGACTGATGCTTGCTTGAAGCCTGTAGATGGTTGAAGATGACTTGAAGACAGATGTTGATGAAGACTGCTGCTTACTGTTTATTCTTTTGCTGTTTATAATTCTTGATGTATTGTTTGAATTTCCCTGACTGTATTGTGTGCCATTTAACCTGTTAGGTTGAAAGTGAATCTTGTTCACTTTTGCCTGTTGTTTTCTAGGTTCGAGGTTGAGTGGGACTCCCTTGCCTCGCTTGTATTGATGCATTCATGCATTTTACTGCTTTATTGTATATTTGCTTTTGTTTCTGTTTTCGTTTATCCCTTAGGATCTCTGTTTCTCTCTGCGCAAGAGAGGAGCATGATAGACATTAGGTCTTAAACCATGCATGATAACATTAGGTTAGCTTGATTCCCTTTTCAACTATAGGTTAGAGTTTTGTCTCTTCTTTCTCAAAACAAACAGAAAAACACAATAAATATTCCAAACACAATAAAAGACACTTCTTCCGTAAAAGAATGTGAACTCATCAAAACGTCATTTTTGTCCGCTTGGACCAGTAATCAGAAAAACCCTTTTTAGAATGAGATAAAAGCAATCAAGAAAAACTTGTGTCGTACATGGCCCGAACTACGTTTGCTCTGATCTTTCATGCTGTATGAAAGTACGTAGGCATAGGATGCGATATCCTAGCGAGCAACCTTCCCCTCCTTTCCCGTAGGTAGGCGAACTACGTTGACTCTGATTTCTCGTTCCAGACGGGAATACGTAGGCATAAAGTGTGATACTTTGCCGAGTCATTTTATTTTCTTTTAACCCTGACCTGTAGAGTAGATAGAATAACAATCCGTACTAGAAAACAAGTGTGGATCCCGTCGAGTACGACGGACGTGAGGGGTGCTAATACCTTCCCCTTGCGTAACCGACTCCCGAATCCAGGATTTGGTTGCGATGACCATTCCTTTCCCGTCTTTGCGGTAGGTTTACTCTGAGCGTTTCCTTTCCCCTCTTTGGGATAAATAACGCACGGTGGCGACTCTTCTGTTCAGTCGGCGCCGATTTTCGCAGTAGCGACAATACCCTAACTCATTCTAAAAACTAATACAATAATAATCATCACAAACATCAAATTCAAAATCTTTTTCCACTTCATGATATTCTTCATTTCACTTTCAAGTTTCATCAACTTTTTCCCTAATTCTTCATTCTCCATTGTCACTTTTTCAATGTCTTTTTTTTTTGTTTTAGCAAGTACCTTAGTTACCACACCCAGCCTATGCATCCAAAATTGCTCATTCTCATCACCCACCTCCTCATAAAACCAACCAAAGAAACTACACCTAACTTGCATATCTCCCAAAAATTTTCATTGTTTAGAGGTTACCTACAAATTGAAACTTAAACAAAATTTATTAACAAATTCAAAAACCTTGCATACCTTATAATTTGGACAACCCCAGAAATATTTTCCCATATTCTTAACAGTAGTTGCCCTTTGAAGAACAATCATGTCTCCACAATGGCATATGGGCTTCCATCGTGACCTACTACAAACATCCGAATCTCCACTTTCCTGTTTCAACATGAAGGACGAACAACCAGATTTCATGCTTGCCAAAAACAAAAACCTTAGGTTTAATTTTGGGATTGAGAGGAAGAAGAACAAAAAAATGTTCTCTTACTATATGAGAATGGGAAGGAGGAAGGAGAATGAAACAAGATGATGAAGATAACTTGTTAAGTCATCTGCCACGTACACAAAATGAACAGACGTTTGAGGACAACTAGCGGTGATGACTCAATTGACACCATTTTAAGAGTTAGAGGAACAACTTATGACTTTTTAAAGTTAAGGGACCAAACTAGATCCCGAGTTAAAGTTAAGGGACGAAAAGGGGTATTTTGCCTATTTTTTTTGGAGAAACTAGAATTTTTATTCTCGAAAAAATCGACTATTTTAAACTTTTGAAAATAAGAATTAATTTTTTTATTTGTCAAAAAATCATTTTTTAACGGAAAACTCGATGTTATTTTAGAAAAAAATTGACTATTTTTTTTTTTTTTAAAATCGACTATTTTTATTTTCGATAAAAATTGACTTTTTCCTTTTCGAACAAATTCAAATGTTTTTTAACTTTTGAACAAAATCGACTATTTTGAACTTTTGAATAAAAATCGACTTATTTTATTTTCTAAAAAAATGAATTTTTTTTCATAAAAATTAATTTTACTTTTGAAAAAAATCAACTTTTTTCAATTTAAAAAAAAAAAGACTTTTTATTTATTTTTGAAAAAAAAGATTTCTTTTTAAATTTTTGAATAAAAACGACATTTTTTTAATTTTCGAAAAAGTTGACTTTTTTAAAATTTCAAAAAAAATCAATTTTTTTCGAAATAACCGACTTTTTATTTTAGAAAAAAATCCATTTTTTCCTAAAAAAAATTGACTTTTTTATTTTCAAAAAGTCAACTTTTTATTTTGAAAAAATATGGCCTTTTAAAACACTCGAATTTTTTTAATTTCGAAAAACATTCGACTTTTTTTATTTTCGAAAAACATTCGACTTTTTTAATGAAAAAAATTGATTTTTATTAAAATATTTTTATTTATTTTTTAGAAAAAATAAAATTTTAAAAATATTTATTATTAAAAAAAAATTAAAAAAAAATAAAATATTTTACTTCAAACTAATTAGATTTTGAGCCCCTTATTTAAATTTCAAAAAAAAAAATTATAAAGAAAAATATAAGGAGACTCTAAAGTAAGGGGTAAAAAAATATTTATGTAATAGGAAATAAAAAAATGAGACTAACGAGAAGCCTAAATATTAGAGCTTTTAACTACAATATGATTTCATTTACTCCTTTCACATATTTAATTTCTACTAATAATATAGTGCCTTCCCCTTCTACTGGTTTATTGATTAACTATGATATGATGAGAGCAATGTCTTGCTATGGTATAACAAATTAAAAGTCTTCCATTGGATCATCCATAGATCATTTCATATTGCGTTGTCTAATCGAAGGGCCACATATGCTGATCATAATCTACCATTATTCGAGGTAAATTGAATCCAGATAAATAGGCTGATAAGCATTCGTCTAGAGTAAGAAACCATCAGATTCTAAGGTAGCATTAATGCTATAATCTTGTATCATAACACATCCAGTGCCACAATCAGATTTTTTCTTTTTCTGCATGAGGACTTGTTACAACAGAATCCATTACTCAAAATATTATAGATATACAAAAACAAAGAATTCACAGGGTTCTATTAATCATTAATCAAGAGTAGGTTTATACATTACAACTTGTACTGAAATACTAATGTATAATTTTTACAAGATTACCTTGAACCGGACCCGACAAGACTCATCACACATTTTGATTTTCTTGTAAACTTCAACCATTGCAAGGCTTCACAACATGAACTTCAACAAACATAAAGTTTCCATTCTCATTTCCATTGAGTAAACTCATCTTTGAAACTCCACAAGATTCATCTTTGTTTTCTTTTGAAGTTTCCACATGACGAGTAACATTTATACAACACTCTTTACCACACTCTTCCCCACCAATAAGTCCTTTTTCTTCATCAATATTACTTTGCTTGTTAAGTAATGGTTTAGTCTTATCCTCCAAAAACTTGCCATATTTAGACCTGGCTGATTCTCTTTCTTCATATTTGCGATTCTCTTGTAAAAGCAACATGCTATTGAGGATAACAAGTAAACATGTTCCAACATCAGTCAATACAGCAAGCCAAACTAATGGATATCCTGCAATTGCCAATGCAAGTATGCAGCATTTAAATCCAACCGAAATAACAACATTCTCAATGAGCTTTCTAGTTGTTTTTCTTGCTAGACGGATCGCTTCAGGCAGTTTTCGGATGTCGTTTGACATGAGAATCGCGTTGCTTGTCTCATTTGCAAGAGCTGAACCTGATATTCCCATTGAAATGCCTATGTCAGCTGTAGCTAGTGCCGGAGCATCATTTATGCCGTCTCCTATCATTGCTGTTGGCCCTTCTTTCTTTAAATTCTCAATGATTTTTGCCTTATCATGGGGTAGAAGTTCTGCGTGAACAATGTCTATCGCATTGTTTAACTGCAAAGAATAAGTCTAAGTTCAAATCTATAGAAATACGAAACGACAAAGTCTAATAGAAAAAACACAATCTATAAGCATACCTGACTCTGAACATACATAGCAACTTGAGAGGTATCTCCTGTCAACATGACTGATCTCACACCTAATAACTTCAACTCTTCTATTGCCTCTAAAGCACCGGTTCTACAAGCATCGACTAGGCCGAACACTCCAACTAGAGTTTCTCCATCGTATTGTTTCTTCGGCGTAGAAATCTCATGGCTTTGAATACAATCACCTTTCTCACAGACAGCTCTGAGACCAATTCTCCTATTTCCTATGTAGATATCCTTCCCATCAATAGTGCCGAAAATTCCTTCCCCCGGAAAATTTTGAAAATTGTCCACATTTTCTGGGACTGGTTTGATAGAGTGCAACATTGCATATTCGACTAGTGCACCGGCTACTGGATGACTTGATTTACTCTCAATACTCGAAATCCTACAAAAGTTTTCATTATTAACCAATTTAAGTTATTCTTCAAAAGCACTTTTAAACCATGAATATAGAAGCATACCAGTACAATAAGGTTTCATTGCTAAATTCATCTGCAACACTAAAATCAGTTACGACGAACTCTCCTCTTGTTATGGTGCCTGTTTTATCAAAAGCCACAGTCTTGATTCTTGAAAGTGTTTCAAGATAATCTCCACCTTTCAATAGTAATCCACTTATTGCAGCCTTTGTGAGAGCACAGAAGATTGCAACAGGTGTGGAGAGAATAAGAGCACAAGGGCATCCACTCAATAAAACAACAAGTGATAGATGAAACCAAGTCTCATTATCAGGAACATTTAATGCAGCTGGAACCAATGCAATGCTAGCTGAAATCAACACAACCGCTGCGATACAGCATAAACAGAAGAAGAAAAAGTTATTTTCTCGAACTTCCACAAGAAGAATCTTGATTATGTACATGATATATACCAGGAATATAGTATTTTGCAAAATTATCTATGAATCTTTGTGCTTTTGATTTTCTGCTAGAAGCTTCTTCAACAAATCTTGACATTCTTGCCACTACTGTGTCTTTTGCCAACACCGTAGTTCTTACACTTATATATCCTGAAAAGTTATGTACTCAAAATGAAGAGAAACTCTTGGAGAGTGAAAATGAAAACATGAAACATGAAAAATGAGGGCTTAACCATTCATATTAATAGTTCCAGCCCAGACAAGTGAATCTGATTCTTTGGTGACAGGGAATGATTCTCCTGTTAACATTTTTTCATCAACTTCACACTTTCCTTCAACCACAACTCCATCAAGAGGAATAGCATCACCGGCCTTGACAGCAAGGATGGTGTTGATCTTAACATCATTGACATCGACACGTTCCCCCGTCTCGACAATAATGGCCATTTGAGGAGCCATGTTTGTTAAAGATGACATCGCAACCATTGCCTATGAATGTAAATAATGTAAGATATAGAAATTATTCCTAGTTTGCGTGTAGTACCACACTTATGATCAAAAGTGTGTCTGGTGTCTAACATGTGTAAATGATATTGACACATGTTGATACCCTCAATCATTACATTTTTAAAATTATTACTAGTTTTAACGTGTTAGTTTCAAGGAGAAATTAAGAGGCAAATGATATCAGAAAACCTTATGAGTTGCTCTTGTTTCAAGCCACTGAGCAATGGAGAACAGAAATATTATGACTCCACCATCTGTAAAATCTTGTAAAGCAACAGTTCCACATACTGCAAGATATGAATGATGAGACATAACCCGAACATTCAATCAAATTCACAACATGCAAACATGGTTTCGTAGAAAACATTACCTGCCAATATAACTAAAATATTGATATTTAGAGTATGAGCTCTAATAGAAGCTATTGCCCTTAATAGAACTTTAGGAAATCCAATAACAACAGAAGCAAGAGCCAACCATTCCAAAGGAGGGTATATATACTTCAAAAATGAAAGTAAAAGTAACAAGCCACATGCCATTGTAACTATGTCTGGCCATTTCTTTTCATTTTTGGTCTCTCCCTTTGGCCTATAACTAGCTTCAAGTCTTGCCGTATTCAGCGCATCAACTGAAATAATCATAGAAATGAATGATCATGAGATGAGATGAAGGAAGTTATGATCCATCATATATAGAACAAGTCAACTCAATATCCTATTATAATATCATTTGTAATTCATGTTGTATAAACTTAGAGGATAAAAACCATAGAATTAACCTATCTGTGATTCAGAAATAAGGAGAAGATCATGGACCACAGTAACAGTTCTGGTAGGAACAGTGACTGAGACATGTTTGACACCAGGAAGAGGGTTTAAAATTCTTTCAACCAGTGTTGCTTCTGTAGCACAACACATTCCCAACACTTCAAAGTTACTTCTATTCATATTCTCAACCATTATGTCTCTTCATTCACTCACTTTCTAAAACAAAAAACAGAACAAAACACAGTTTTAAAGAATAAAATAAAAAGAACAATTCAACATTTTTTTTTGTTGCAATTAATAAAATAAGAAAGCAATAGCTGACTTTGTGGGGGAGGAAAATGTTGTTGACGTTTTGATAAACTTGAAGTTCATTGCATGATATTATAATTTATTTAGTGTAAATATAATTTATATAAATTAATTACTAAGTTAATATAAACAAGGCATGTTTAAGGCTTCATCATATGATTGACTTAAAAAATAATATAAAATGTCCCCACTTCTGATTGAAAATTAAAATTTAGTATTTTTTAACTTCTTTAGAAGGTTTTATCATAGTGTTTACCGTAAAAATTGGTAAGCAATCGCTGATCTTTTAAAAGAAAACTGGTTTACTTACATAATCAACCAGTAAATTTTAAAGACATAACTATTGTTTCAATATATTTTTGGAAAATTGAAGAACACTTCGACAGTAATCATTTGTATTAAAGATTATTTTGATTGTTTTAAAAAAAAATAAACTTTTTAAACGTTGATAAAGAAAATGTAATGAAAAAACTTCAAAGTAAAAATGCAATAAAGAACAATTGATAAATGAAAATAACTTTCTATTGAAATAAACGTGGCGTTTCAAACGTACATTTCTCAATAAAAACTCTTTTCACACTTGACTTAGATACTTTAAGTGAATTTTTGAATATATGTAAAATAATGAATAAACACAGAAATCCTAACACTAAGACTCATATTTATAACAAGTTAAAATAGCTGTATTCAACGAACATTCCTCTAAAAACTAACATGTTTCGCTCTTGCATGTTTTCATTTCACCATGGCTCTCCACGCATCTTTCCTGAGAAACAGATAAGGGCAAAAGACAGTTATTTATCCGTATTTTGAATTTCAAACTTCTGTCGAAGGAAAGCTTCAAACATCATTCTTCGAAGTTGGTTTTACATACTTAGAAAATATTTCTAAGTATTGTTTAGACATCTCTTTCATTGGAAACCACTTCGACCAAGCTCCTTACACAAGCTCTTGCCGAAGTCAGGAAAAATTCAAGAAACTTAATTTTCACTTAATGTCTTTAAACAAAAAGTATGTCGTCGAATTTTCTAGTCAACAAATTGTCTCCCAAAAATGTCGTTTTCGACTGAATGAAGAAAAGGGCATTTTTGAAGTTCGCCTTTGACGCCAGAAACCTTTGGTTTACTGTGACGTCATCATCATCAGGACAACTTTTCCAAAACGTCTCCTCAAACCCATGTGTGAATCTTTTTCAATCATTACGTCTAGTCCCTAGGAGATCGTGGGTCAGACTTAACTGCTACCGTCTCATCACACAATCCTTTCATGGCACGCGTCTCATGATTTTTATCAGCATTAATGTGTACAGTAACCATCTCCACTTAGTACACCTTTAAATAGCGAAAAATCACCATTTTCACACTTTTCACTCTCTGAACCTTCTTGAACGCATTTTCTCAAATCTTCATCTCTTTTAAATCTTCTTTTTGAAAATTCACCTCATCAATGGCTTCTTCAAACAAGATCTCCAAAGATACCAACAAGAAAACTAAAGAGCCTAAGAAATCTGGAGAACTTGCTCCAGTTCACAAAATTTTGGGTCCTAATGCAGTAGGCAACCAACAATACATCTCTGAGTCACCTCATAAAAAGAGAAACACATGATCTACCAATCTCAGGTACACATTCTCATCCTTGTTTCTGGTAAGATAAACGCTATGATATGTCTTCTTCCTAACCTTACTGCTAACCTTGATAAGGTTAAGGAATTATTTCCTAGTTACCATCGCTATAAGCTCAGAGCTAGTGGTCAAAAACCTAGGACTAGTGAAGAAATAAAGGCTGATGAGAAAGCCATGGTTGATGGTGAAGGTTCTCCTTCGACTATAGCTTCTAGAGACCCCATTAACTTAGAGTACATGAATAATAGTTTTAGGGTATTTAAGTCATGCCCCCTATCTAAAGACCTTCTGATTATCTTGCTTGGTTAGAGAAAGTAAAGAAAGAAAAATTACAAGTCTAGAAAGACATGGGCATCTTCGACATGATTTAGTTGTTGAAGGTGGGGCCTGGCTATTGCCCATCGATATTGATTACTTCCCTTTATTTTTGGAATAGTACTCACAAAAACATTTAACTCCCTTGTGGAACTGTGACTTCCACCTTATTCGACGTTGCTTCCATCGCATGCCTCAAACCCATTGGACTAGATTCTGATCCTAACCTCTTAGTTGATGACTCCATAGGCTTCGACACAAATAAAGCAACTTTCACCACTTATATATCTCACTACCATGATTAATAAACAGATGAAGTTTCTGATAAAGAGCATGTTGCGTTTCTGGCTCTTTGGCTTTCCCGCTGCGTCTTTTGTTTAAGATCCCTTTTGGTGGCGAAGAGATTCCAAACAATGGCTATTGCGGTGAGAATTGGATAGCAAGCTATTGATTTAACTTTAATCACAAATCATTAAAGTTCACCACCGAACTTTGATTTATCCAAAGGAAAGGGAAAAGATCGAAAAAAACCTAATTGCGCACTTTAACAACAATGCTAAGAGATCTAAGGTTCAGGGGTTGGTTATACTAAGGAAAGGTACTGACACCCTAAGTATCTGTAGTACTCTACAAGAAGCTCTTATTTATATTTGTGTTATGTTATTGTTTTCTATTGTTGGGAAATGCTATGGGGAAGACCTAAGGTTTTATTGCTAATATGCTCGCCAGACATTGCATCACGTGCCTACGTATCATAACAAGGATGGAATCAGAGCATTTGTAGTTTATCTAACTACGAGTGAGAAACTCTTGATAGTGATCAAGCTTTTAAGGGGGAGTTAAGTGTTCATAGCAATGACACTTACATAGAGTTAAGAAACTCTAATCCTAAGGCTAGGATAAAAAGGGAAAGACTCTAACAAGGTCCAAAGGGGAAGTAAGTGTCCATAGAAAAGACACTCCTACATAGAGTTAGTAAACTCTAATCTTAAGGCTAGGATGGGAAAGCTAAAGACTTTAAGAATGACTCAAGGGAAAGTAAGGTAGGCTAAGTTATCCTAAACATGACATAAAGTCAACAAGGGGAATTCTTTCCTTTGGAATTAGGCATAGGTAAGCAACATCAAAGGAGCACCAAGAAGGGCTTCAAGTATCAAAGTTAAAGGCATGAATGTATGGTAACATATGCAAAGTAAATGCTAAGGTAACCCAATCAACTCAAGATATAAAGTAACAAGTCACCAAGAAGGCACATAACATGTTAGAGATGAAGGCAAACAAAGTAGTGCAAACATGTGTGTCTTAAAGTGTCAAACAACATCAACACAAGCACCTAATGAACCATGTAGGGTAAGAACTCATGCAAGTTAGTAGCTATATCACATCACATCCAACACACTCAAATGATTGATAAAAGAGCATGAGAGGATCAATCATGTATCAAAATAATGGTCACACACTTGTCATAACAAGTTCATAAGAAAGAGATCGAAGATGATTCAAAATGAAAGTTAAAGCATGAAACCAAGATGAGTCAGTAGCACAACCAAGCATTTCAACCCATAAAAAACACCATGATGTCAAAGAAACTCAACAAGAATCATACTCTCAAGACATGAGCAATGAACTAAGCATGTATAAATCCATATCAACCACAAAAGGTAACCAACTTCCAATACAAGTAAGAAACACCAAATTGACAAGCAATAAACATTGAGATCAAGGAAGTCAAAATCTCAAACATGGTATTCAAGTTATTTTAAAACACCAAGCATCAAAGAGGTTCACACAAGAAGCATGTTCAAAATTAGGTCAAAATAACCAAAATCATGTTCAAAGCAACCCTAACTTGAGGCATTAATTAAAAATAGTAAAATTGCCAAATAAATAAAAGTTAATAGCTCTACCTCGTGGAATAACATTCAAGAATATATATGGAAAATATCTCTAGAAGAAATTCACCATTGCTCACACAAAATCAATTAACAATTTCATGGTACTTCACTAATCGAGCACAAATCGAGGATCAAATTAAACCACATGAAAACAAATTAAAATGTAACATTCAATGACCAAACCAGCACTCAAACAAATCTCAATCATATACCAAAGCATCACCAAAAACATGGCTCAAGAAAGGACACACAAGACCTCAAAAAGTAAAACCCTAATCTAAAGGTAGTTTAGTAAACACCTTTTAAAAATAATTCAAAATAAAATAGGGAAAGAATTATAAAATTAAAAATAAAAATAAAATAAAATTTTAAAGACATCAAAATTTGTAGAAACCATTTCTGTGTCTTTTTTTTAAATAAGTGGAATATCAAAAATAAAAGAAAAATAAAATTGAAAAGAAAATAAAATAATGAAAATAAGGTGAAAGGGATATGGGTGTAGTAGTAAAAGGAGAATGAACTGAGGTAGTGTTATACTGTGCTGATGGGCCTAGAATAGGGAGTGTCAAAAGTAAAAGAGTAAAGCCCATGTTCATTTTTTAAACAATTTCAGTGCCACATGTGTTTTCATTTAAATGAGGTGTCATCCACCTCAGTGCCATATGGGTGCCACCTGTGCGGGTCAACAGGTCAAAACAGAGGGACAAGTCAGACTTCGGAGCTAGGGCTCCGGCCGTCTTCTTCGATGTAGCCACCAGAGCTTTCTACAACCCTCATCCAAACTCAAAAATAAAACCACATTTCCAAAGGTATTTTCACGCTGAATCCAAAAATGACCTTGGTTTTCTCTTTTAACCACCCTAAGGTCCTTAAAAGTGGCCACAAAAAATTGAGTCTTAAAACTGAACTTCCATAAAATGAAACAACAACCACCCATATATTTTTTTATGTTTCCAGAAATCCAAACACAACAAACACACGTCCAAATAAACAACTAAAAGTGAGAAAAGAGTGAGATAAAAGGTTACCCAAGTGAAACTTGTATGCTTCT